ACTACTCACTCAAAAGGATTTAAATCCTTGGCAAAGGATATGGTTAGAGTTGTTGAAAAATGATGATATGAGTGTTCTCTATCACACCGGTAAAGCTAAGGTGGTAGCGGATTCTTTAAGTCGTGTGTCCATGGGAATTGTGTCCCATGTTGAGGAAGCCAAGAGAAATCTAGCTAAGGATGTTCTTTCATAAGTTGGCTTGTCGGATTGAAGATTCTACTATAGTTGGTGTGGTGGTACGTTATAACTGCGAGTCATCTTTAGTGGTTGAGGTGAAGTCCAAACAACACCTTGATCACACATTGATGGAGTTGAAGGAATAAGTTCTTCATAAACTTAATGAGTCATTCTCCTTAGGGGGGGATGGTGTCTTGAGGTACAAAGGAAGGTTATGTGTTACCAATATAAGTGATTTAAGGAGTCGGATTCTTGAGGAAGCTCATGGGTCCTGTTACTCCATTCACCAGGTTTCAACAAAGATTTACCATAAACATAGGAAAGTGTTTTGGTGGGAATGATTGAAAAAGGACAATGAAATTTATTGCTAAGTGTCCAGATTGCCAATAAGTGAAAGCCGAACACCAATAGTCGTGTGGTTTACTTCAAGAAATCCAAACTCTTACTTGGAAGTGGGAAGACATCAATATGGATTTTGTGGTAGGTTTGCCTCGGACACAAAAGCAATATGACTCCATATGGGTGATTGTGGATAGGTTGACCAAATCTGCTTATTTTATTCCCATCAAGTATACTTATTCGGTAAAATATTATGCAAGGATCATCATAGATGAGATCCTGTGTCGCCAAGGTATCCGTTTTCCGTCACACTAGATAGGGGTGCACAATTCACACCTATGTTTTAAAGTCATTCCAAAAAGGTTTAGGTACCAAGGTGAAGTTAAGCACCACTTTTCATCCCCAAATGGATAGTCAAGTAGAACTTACTATTAAAACCCTTGAGGATATGCTTAGAGCTTGTATCATTGATTTTATGGGATATGCATTTTGCTTTGGTGGAGTTTTCTCACAATAATAGCTACCATTCATCTATATATATGTCTCCTTATGAAGCCTTGTATCGTAGAAGATGTAGATCACTGATTGGATGGTTTGAAGTGGGTGAGTCTTCACTTTTTGTGACTGATTTGATTTATAAAACCTTGGAGAACGTTCATACTACAAGGAACCAATTGTAAAAAGCCTATAGTCGGAAAAAGTCTTATGGCAATCATAGGAGAAGGAATTGGAGTTTGAAGAAGGTGATAAGGTGTACTTGAAAATTTTGCCTATGAAAGGGGCGGTTAGATTTGGCAAGAAAGGGAAGTTGACTCCTTGTTATGTGGGTCCCTATGAAATCTGGCAAAAGTTTTGTAATGTTGCCTATGAATTGAAACTTCCTAGTGAATTGGCTTCGGTTCATTTGGTCTCCATGTTTATATGCTTAAGAAGTGTATCCATGATTCTGAGTCCATTCTTCCTATTGAGGTTCTTAGTGTGAAGGATAACCTTTCTTGTGAGGAGGTTCCGATTCAAATTCTTGATAGGCAAGTAAGGAGTTAAGGAACAAGGAGGTGGTTTCCGTTAAGGTGTTATGGAAGAATCACCTAGTTGAGGGTGCGACGTGGGAGGAGAAGGCCATCAGGAAGTACCGTTACCCTCATCTATTTGATAACTAAGATCAATTTTTCTTACTAGTAATTAAAACAATGACTAAAAATTGAAGTTTCTTGATTTTTTGTGAAGTTTTGCAAAAAAATACATTTGTGGTGTCATTACAGTGAAGTTACACTAAAATTGTGCATATTGACTTAAAATTTGGAGTTCTTCTTGTTTTGAAATATGTTGTGCATTTTGATATGGTGATTCTTTATGAATCCATATATAATGTTGATAAGTTAAAATTTGGCATAATTGACTCAGATATGACATGTTGAGCTCATGTTGTTGTTGTGAGAAGGAAATTCCTCATGATTTTATTTTAAGCCTTATGTGTGGTAATTGAAGTTTTAAATTGCCTCTTGTAAAAGATATGATTATTGTTTTTATGCATTTTTGTTGGTTGGGCTTCTAGTCTTGAGTCTATTCCTTCATTCAAAAACTTTTTAGTGTCATTCGTGGACAAATATTCCTAAGGGGATAATGTAACACTTTGAAAATCTAAGAAGTGTTCTAGAGACTAACATGAGTATCATAAGGTTTAGAAACTCTTTTAAGGTCTATTTAATGAATATAAGTCATTTAAGAATTTTTGAAGTCAAAATGTCCAAGAACATCCATGACGTCCAAAAAATTTGTTCAATGAGGTGCTAGAGTGCCTTAGCCTATTTTACTAGCTTTTATGAGTTGGAAAATGATAAAAATTAGTGGAAGGGTGTATAACATAAATTATAGTTAATTTCATAGTCAAAACTTTCAGAAACGACTCCCCAAGGACTAACCAAGGTCCCTTGAGGAGGACCCTATCTTTTTGGGATTAAAGAACAACACAAGGCAGTGTGTACAGACGAGTGCCATCGACGGGGCGTGTATCAATTGATGGGGTATCGATGGACACCATCAATGGTAACTTAGACAAAATCTTGGAAGGTTCATTTTGCATAGTCACTGACCAAAACGACGGACTAACAAGACGGAGGGTCCTGTGGCCGTCATCTCACAGATGGACCGTTGGTCGGGGTCTTGTCTGTGAGGGCCTATTTTTGCTCTACGTTTTTACCTAATTCATTTGATTATTTAGTTTAGTTAGGAGGTTAGTTAGTGTTTATGATAGGTCTAATTAAGTTAGTTAACCACTTATATCAAACCCTTAAGCTAATTAGACTAACCTATGTTCTCATAATTTCTCAAACCCAAAACTCTGTTATTTCTCTCTTCTTCCTCTCTCCCAAAGAAAGCCCATTGAAGTCAAGTCTAGAGGTGGATTAAAGGGATGAAAAGGATCAAATATATCCATCAATAATAATGAACTAGTACGGTATGAGATTCGTTTCACCTTTGAGGCCTCTTTCCTCAAAGGTTCCATGGAATTAATTGCAAAAGTTGAGTTTTCAAGTGGGTTTTCATCCAATACGAAATTGATGTTGTGAATTACTTTGTTTATGATTTATTTAGGATATTATGAATAAATTAACATGCTCAATTATGTTATATATTGATGAATTGGTCTAGTTTGTAGAAGATGACCTATTTCCCTTTAACCTTAGGTTATGATCTTGCTATGAATTGTGTAATGTTGGTTCAATTGTGTTGGTTATTGGTTGAATTACTAGTATATATTTTATTTTATCTATTATGAATATATTAATATGAGTTTGAGTCCTATCATTCTAGTTCTTATGTAATTGATTTAGATTATGTTCTTGACCTAAGTATTTTATCTACAGCTATGAACTAGTGATGGATTGTGATATAGTGATTCAATTAGCTTTGTTATCATGTTGGTTATCATTATGTGATGATATTACATCCTTATTGGGTTGAATTAAGGGTTTATGGTATGACCTTGATGATTGATTATGAAAGAACTTGGTAAGACTTGTGATCCTATTCTTTACTTCAATTAGGTTAATTGTGATTAAGTCATGATGTTGCATTAAAGTATTCCTTGTATTAGGATTTATAGTGTGAGTATGATGTTGAATTGAAATGTTTTTAGGATTGATTATGAGGTGTTGGCTAAGATGTAAATATTTTAAGGATGGCAATGATTTACCAATGTGCCTTATTATGAAGTGATATGTTAATGTGCTAACCTCACTTATATGGATTGTAATGAAAGGAAAATACTCATGCATATCTTAGTGATATATGATGATGATGTTTATACAAGGTTTAGACCCTATGACATTCATTAAGTTATTATGATTGATAAAGGTATTAAAGGAATTTCAAAAAAATGGACTTAGCTTAGCACCGAGTGAACTTGACAATCGGAGGTGTTGACTTTCCATATAGGAAGATTCACACTATAGTTCCACATGAGATGCTGACTCCCCTATGAGGGATACTCACTTTATGTATTCCCATGAGAGGAGGCTCCAACTGCCAAGTGGAATGTAGAGAAGTTTTACTTATCTCTTAGTTCTTAAACTATGTTTTCCCCATCGGAAGACTAGCTAGTGGATCCACCTACAAAGCTACATTTATGTTTGGTTTTACTTTTTACAGTAGACCACCTTCCATTGGTGTAAGGTTTTACAATAGTGGATTCCACACTTACCTCCTGTGGTCTATGTCGGTTAAGGCAAGTGTTCCCTAAATTAAAGTGAAGTAATAAAGTATAAACCAACAAAGGTGACTTAACATGTTTGACTTAGCCTAGGTAGGGGTATGGGACTCTACCTATGCCTTGCATTAGTTTGACTTGAAGAAAGCCTTAGGAGATTTTTCTTATGTATGTATATGCTTATACATGTCAATGATATGTACATGATGATCTTATATGTTAATGGAACTAGGTGATGTTGATTACTCTTATGAACATGTATTTGGCCTATATTGCTAAAGTATGATATTATGTATGTTTTTTAAATAAAGTTGGACATTGGTTATGGTTCTTTCTAGGTTTACTTGATTAAGTAAGATTATGTGGCTTTTCTTAGTTATTGCACAAGTTGACTTAAAGAGGATCATGAGTAATGGTCTTGTTTTGGTTAAGTAGAAATGTACTCTTATTAATTCTTGTTGCTACTATAACTTGATGATAGAGTTACTCTGATTTTGTGTTCAATTGTATGATATGCATGTTGAATTGACTAGACTTGGTGTTGTTAGTCTTGTGATGTATATGCCGACGCCTAAACAAATATGTCTTATTAATTGGTATGGTCTTGATTTAATGTGCAAAAAGGTTTTCAAAGTAAATTGCGTACTAAATAGTAAATTGCATACTTAATGAAATGGCCTTTCTTAGCATGCTTTCATGATATCTGTACATATGGTCTCATACTTAGTGCAAGTGGTGTACTAATCCCATTGCTTCTTTTTTCCCAACATTTTAGGTTCCGCTCGTTGAAGGGCTTTTGGGGATGACTTTTAAGAAAACATGGAAATCTCAATCATCCAAGCTGGTAGGTCCTAACTTTTTGAGGGCAAAGCCACTATCAAGATTATGATGTTGCTTGTAGTTTTTTAAGAGTCTTATGGTCTTTCCTTTTCATTTGGATACTACACATTGTATAACCTATATGTGGTCTTATTCTATTGATGTATGGGCTAGACCCAAATTGTTATACTCTTATTAGATGGATATTAGATGAGACGACTATTTGAGACTATTATATTTTATATATCTATGTGCAATAAAAGTAGAAGACTAAGTAATATTCATATATAAAGGGTCTATGTATACCTAATATAACTATACTATGTGTATATAAAGTTCTATGTAAACGTTAACATAGAAGTAGTAAAAAGTTTTAAATTTATGCTAATTTTGACCTATGAATATAATGGTGTAAGCTAAGAGGCTAGTCTAGTCCTCAAAGAGAACGACGACGTCAATTACATCTAGTGGGGCTTACCGGATATGACAAGGTGTTAGTCTCCCATGACCTATACTAAGTTGTGATGATTAAGAATGACATAAATACATTTTAAAAAGGGAATTTTGCTTAGCCTCGAGTGAACTTGACAATGAGAGATGTTGACTCCCTATAGAAGGGAGATTCACCAAGCATTCTAATGAGATGAGGGATCCAATTTCTAATGGGCATATAGAGGGTTTAAGACATCTCTCCTAGTTCCTTAACTATGTTGCCTCCATAGGAATACTAACTAGTGTATCCACCTAGAATTCTATGTTCATGTTTTGGTCCTACCTTGGCTACTAGACCACTTTCTTTTGGTGTAGATTTTCATGACACTAGATTTCATGTTTAGCTCACATGGTCTATTGTTGCTTAAGGAGATTGTTCCTGAAAGTAAAATAAAATTAATAAAGTGAACACTAACTAGGGTAACTTAAGGGGTTCTACTTTGTGTAGTTAGGGTTGTGGTATTCTACTTATACATGGCACAAGTTGACCTTGAGGAAAGTCTTAGGAGTTTGTTCTTATGTAATTATGATGTAAATAAAATGTATATGATGACTTTATATGTTGATCATGCTATATGATGTTAGTCTCATTGTTGTATATGATATTGATCTATGTTGAGGTACATGATTATGAACATGCATGATATGAAGATATATGAAATGTTGATGTTGCTTATGATCTTGTACTTTGTTTACTTGATTATATGGGGTTATCAGAATTCACATAAGCATTGCACTTGTAGGATTGGGAAGGGGATGTGAGTAAGGGTCTTGTGTGATATGATGTTTTGAACTCTTGTACATGAATTGTTGTTATGACATTATGTGGGAGTTGTTATGCTTATTTGATCTTATTATGATGCCATTCATGTTGACATTATCCATGTTGACTTGACTTTATCATGATATTGGTCTTGTGTTGAATATGGGATTGTATTTAGTGATTTTAAATGGCTTGTATATTTTATTGATTATGCATAACGGCTTTTGAAAGTTACTTAGCATGGTTATGAACACAATGTCCCTTTAAGCATGATTTCAATGTTTTATGTACATATGTTTCCATACTTAGTACATGTGGTTGTACTAACCCATATTCTTTCCCCATTCCCAAATAATGTAGGTTTGGGACGTTGAGGTATCAAGGTAACTTTGCGAGAGACTTGGACTTTTCCCCAAGTTTTGCTAGGTCCTCTAGTTTGAGTGTTGTGCCACGTATTCTACCTTAGTATTATTGCTATGGTCTAAAGACATTCATTTCTTTCATATTATTGAAGGCATTGTTGTAGTCCCTATGTGGCAAATATTAATTTGTATAAGGGTTATTCCCAAATGTTCTACTTCGTTTTAGTTGGTTTTATGTGATACAATATTATTAGACTAAATTATTACGTATTGGTTATGTTGACTAAACAAGAAGCCTACATAAGCTTCATATGCGAGGAGTCTAAGTAAACTCCATATATAGTATGTGAGAGGTATATGTATACCTCAATATGTAAAAAAGTTTACTTTTTTCGGATTTTAACGTATGATATGTTATGTAGAATGCTAAGAGGCTTATGTAAGTCCTTTCCGAGGATGACAACACTGGTTATATCTAGGGGCCTCTCCCCGATCATGAAAGACTAAAACTTCGGTAAACTATTGTTCATTTTGTTTTTATGCAAGTTTTAGTAATTTGTAGCTTTTGAACCTTAAAAAATCATGTTGACCACAAGTACAAGAAGATGACCCTTAAAATCTACTTGTAACGATTTGATCAACTTTAGAAGGGTCATTTTATGCTAGTAGGATAGTTGGCATGACTCCCAAGGCGTTTAGTGCGAGCTTATACGATTAAGCATTTTAACTTTCATGTTAAGGCCTAAGTTTTACTTCCAAAAATATTTGAGTAAACAATAAAATATGAGAATTTTTTCAGTGCGGTTAGCTTTAAAATATTGAGTTTAGTCTAGAACGACCCTTCCTTCGGATCTTCAGGCCTATATGAAATTCTAAGTTCCCTTATAGATTTTGGATTAAAAATTGGGTTTGGTATGGAAACACTTTTTGCTGAAATAACATAGTATGGGAATATTAGCTGCCGTATTAAACGTACAATATCAAATTTGGTAGGCATATATCGTTTGCATGCATGGGATTCTAATCAAATACAAAATGTCTCACAGAAGAGAGGGAAACTTGCCAGAAGCTGATATTCATCACTTGATGGAGAGAAAATTAGTCTTTACAACTGTGGATGTTGGTTCACATTCATTGAGAATACCATCGCATTTGGGGGTCTAAGTTACATTTATGAAGGGCTAGGCTGCTTTGTTGTTGCATTCGTGGATACCTAGTCGTGATTGTGGAGTTGTCATTCCTAGGACTTCTTGATCGTGAACTCGATGCCTTTGATTCGCATAGGGAAACTCCGCAAATCTCTAAATTCGAAAAGAGTAAAATCATCTAGTCTTTTATTTAAAGACTAGACACGATCAACTTTTATTGCAAAGGTTCAACTAGTGATATTTTAGTTGTTTGACTTTGGATTTAGGCGATTTGAAGTATGGTGGATTCATCAAGGTTTTTGCTAAGATATGGAGTAACCAAAAGTCATTGGTGAGCTTCTATTTGAGGTTAAATTGCGTTTTAGTTGCCTGCCTTGTCTCTTTAAATGAACTCGATTGTTATCTTTGTTGCATGTTATTGGTTGTGACTATTCTGAGCCTCAGATTGTGCATTGTGTTCCTTTTTGGACACAAGTAAGTTGTTTAGAAACTTTTAAAGAAGTCAATTATTAATTGTGCATGGGTACCTTAATTCCTGTTTAATTTTAAATGTTATTCATTTCCATTTTCTGTGTTTTGGTGTCTAAATGACTCTATTGACATTGTAAGCCTATTTGATAGCATGGCAGTGTTTGGAGGCCATTCAGAAAGGAAAATCCCCAACCATGTGATTTAGAGCGCATATGTTAGGCCTGCATGTAGGATACAACTTCCTTTTGATTTGGATTTAGCTATAATTTGAGTATGCATTATGATTACAATGAATTAGGGGTAAGTACCTAGTTATTCTCATTTCTGTTTAGAGTACCATGTTATATGGTTGATCAATATTGTTTAGGGTTTAGGACCATGCTAGTCGGGGATTATATGTAATTTTTCTTGCTTTTGGGTATTAATTTTATTTTTTTCATAATGAGCATGTTCAACCTTAGTCTAGGATTATACTTGTCACGACCCGAGGCACCCCCTAGTCGTAACCGGCGTACTCAACCTCAAAGAGGTCTTATACAAGCCTCATGGATCATTCATTGCATACAATACTTAAAAATAAAGAAGAATTAAAAAAATTCTTCACACAAAGATAATTTCGTTAAATGGCAACCGGAAACTTCTAACTTTATACACGTATATCTCAAAAACCAGCTAAACTTTAGAAAATGTGAGCTAAACATGGAATCCGGTATTACCCACACTCAAAATGGTTTTCCTACATTCCTAAGGTAAGACCATGGTTTGTTAGATTTTGGGTGGATCCACTAGCTAAAGACCTATAAGGGCACATACTTTATGAGACAAGGAGATTAATACTAGAAACCTGCCCTTTCTGACAGGGGACCTTAATTTCAATAGATTGCTTATCGTTCTGACGGGGGATCTTCTATATAATGCAATATCCACTCAGTGTGAATTTATTCCACAGAGTACTTATTAATTCATAACATGTTTTATTAGGGAAGCTCATAAGATCACGCGTTAGAATAACCTTTCACCGTCCATGTCAACATGTAATACTAGATTCAATTAAGTGAGAATTTACTTTGAACTTTAGAATCATCACATTGTGATATGAACTTCACATCATGTTCATTTTGTGTTCACTGTAATAGTCTTTCAATCAACACATAAATATTATTCATAATTATGGACATTTCCCTGTCAAAATGTTTAGAAAGAGTATATATTACCTTCATAAAAATCATGCATTATATCATATCTTGCCTTATTGAATTTCAAAACTCATATCAATTAACACATCAAGAATTACTAATTTAGACATGGATAATAACATGATTCAAATAACCCCAATACTACAAGCATAACCTCATAATTTCCTTTTTTTATCAATTCACTCATATCACAAGGTCATAAATTATAAGTATGGGTGATATCATGGATTCTTAGGGATTTCCACAAAACAATAATAATAAATCATCAATTAAATCATAATAATAATTAATTAAATCATTAGAATCGTTTTTAAGGGAATCCATGATTTGGAGTAAAACCATAGCTTTTGGGGAAATTACAAGTTTTGAAATTGAGTTTGGAGGTACTTCATGGATGAATACTATCAATGGATAAAGGACTGTCGTACCTTAGCGATGAATCTCAAAAGAAATTGAGTAGAAACCTTGCTCCTCCAAATTGTAGCGTCAACTTCCTTCTCATTCTTCCTTGAAGTTTTAGAGAGAGAATTTTTTGGAGAGATTGAGTTCTTTTGGAATTTTTAGAAATAATCACTTGGATATGTTAATTTAGT